TACCAACATATATTGTAGTTATTATGTGGGTAAAAGTAATTTTTAGTAACATGTATAGTGTCACTATAAGGTGTATCTTTATATGACAATTTTGTTGTAGTGTAATTAACTGTATTTGCTCACTTTACTGTGTAACTTTATTTTAATTTTTAATGAATTTTCTATATAATAGTTTATAATAGGTGTTGTGTTTGATTATTTTACACAGATAAAAAAATACTAATTAATAGATAGAGAATAGTAATTTTATAGAATAACTTTGTGATTAGTTTTCGTTGTTAAAAATGTAACATAATAATCACTTTTTCAAAAACTTTTTTATTAATAGTATAAATAAAAAAGAGATAATTAATATTTTATTAAAATTTAACATGACATTTATTTTATAATTTTTTTTAGTACAACACTTAATATATACTTGAAAAAGTACCATATACTGCAGTACACTATTTCATTATGAAGAATAAATGAAAATGTAATTATCAGAAACATTTTCAATTTAAACTAAATATTTTATATACGATGATTCACACGTTGACTTTTCCATAAGAAAAAGAATATTAGTATTGAAAAAATAATTCTAATGCAATTAAAATTAAAAAAAAAAAAAAGACTAGTGAAATCAATAGATATTTTTATTAAGATCATAGTAAAATAAACAGGTTTGGTTTATATGTGTCACACACTGCCATGAAATAGTCAACATGAACAATACATAAGGAATTGCTATTGGAAATTGGAATATCTGAAATGGAGAAGCAAAAGTACACAACTTGGAAATTTTTTAAAAAAATACAAATAAAGATTCCCACAACCACCTTATTAATATGATAATTACACGCGTATTAGCTAGGTCGTTCTTAATTTTTTTTTATCAGTACCCAATAAAATCTTCCAATAAAGTTTCCATTTGTCCTGGTCATACGTGATTGTTTTCTCTCTCTCATTCTTAAAATTTTGAGCATACATTTATTTTAAGCTTTAAAACCATTAGTTTGACTTTACTTTCATACCTTAAAATAAATAAGAAACATTAGATTAGTTTTTCAATCATTTAACACAAACTAAAAATAATTTTCTGAAATCACGAGATTAGAATAAATTGAACTTATTTATACTGGAAGGCATGATTGCATTGATGTCAGTTTCTATAGACTAAGTTGATGTTATTTAGAAGTCAATATCCTAAATTCATCATAAACATTCAAATATTTGAATAGAAAAATAATAATTAAAGATTTTTGGGAAAAAATTGATGGCTAAATTAAATTCATTCAACTTTCGAAATATAAAAAAAATTAGTTAATTGAAAAAAGAAAAATCACAAATGGTCCTACCATCTTGTGGTCTGTACGATCTTCCTGAAATGCTACTGCTTTTAGGAATTATGAATGAGCCTTGTTGACTTTATACATTTCGTATAATTTGTTCAAAGTTAAGTCGGTGAAAGTGGTTTTCTGCTAAGGAACACATCTCTTGTTTCCTTTCAAATTCAAGCACCTTGCTTTCCATGTATATATAGCATGCAATTTGTCTTAATTTTGGTGTTCTATGGTATTTTCAAGTTTGAAGTTTTAAATGTACTAATTTAATTTTTTTTTGAGTTAATTACCTATATTTTTTTTTTTACACTGGTAACCAATTATATTTCTTAATTGTGTCATGTCATTGTAAATACATTTACTTTTAACAGTGACATGACACAATTAAGAAATATAATTGATTGTCAGTGTAAAAAAACTTTACACTAGCAATGTATATGTAATTAACTTTTTTTTTTTGCCTCTTGTTATTATTCATGTATCGAAGTTAAAGTATATTTTTTTTAATAACTTTTTTCGATTGTATAAAATTTATGAACAATATTCAAATGGAAAGGATAAAAGTTACAATTAAGCTTAAGTTGTTTTAATTTGAATTAAATTTTCAATGGAATAAATGATGTAAATTTTATTTGGAGACGACCTAAAACTTTCTTACATATGTTTGGTACAATTTGAAGCAAATTTTATAAGATTGGTGTAACTTTTAATAATTGCGCGTACTAGAGATAAGTCAAATTTAGAGTGTATACAAGTTTGAATAAAGCTGTATTCACAATTTACAAGTTACACAGAAATGTAGGGCATTGACCAGCATCCACATTCATACTTAAGCTTTGCTTGATCCCACCACCATACACATCCATGACTCCATGTGATTTCACGTTCAAATTCGTGGGCTAACGACATTCACAGTGTTAAGTATAATTAGTCGATCTCTAATTTAGTGTGCTTAAAGATATTTGTGGCAAGATAAAAAAAAAATACAAGAAAGTTATGAACAAAATATATAAATTGTAAATTATGTGATATGAAATTGAATTAAGATAGATAAAATTACAAGGTCATGATTTGAAGCATGCAGCATGAGTTGAAATGTTTGATAACTCCAATCCAAAAACATGCATGCACTCTTGACTCCATCACTCCACGTGAAGAATCTCAAGAGTCGAAGGTGCCACCTCTATCCCACGTATGTGCCTAAGAGGTGAAAGGACGTACGTGTGCTTCTATACTTTCTCCATATGTGGTCAAGGATGAGCAACTCATATGCATGGCATACGTACATTAGGTTAAAGTCTTGTGGATTAGAAATACAACAAATAAATAAGAGTAACATTCACTTTATATAATAGTATCAGAACTATTATAGATTTATTTTAAAAGAATTAACTAGCGATTTATATACGCACTAAACTCCATTGTGTTTGCATTATTACACCCTTAATTAACCGGGTGTCCATATATATTCTAGATGTGTAGAATACTAATGTCATGAATTTTGTTTCAAATTGTAACAAACATAGAAAAGCCGACGACTATTCAGAGTGATTAATAAGAAAGGAGATGTTGCAAAGTTTCAATATAGATCACATGCTCCTCATATTAATTACCTGTCTTTCAAGCCTAGTTGAGTCAAACTACATAATATTATTCAGGTTTCATTTTATTTGTAGTGTTTTTCGATAATTTTCTTACTTAAATTTAATTATCAAATTTTAATCATTATAAAAATTTCATTCAACTTTTTATCTACTTAATTAAAATTTTAAAAAAATATCACCTTCCACTTAAAATTTACTAACTAATATATTTATTTCATTTAAAATAAGAAAATTTAAAACCTTCTGTTTCTCTGAAATCCTAACTTAATTCTTTGTTTAACAATTACTTTGAATTTCATCAAACTTAATATCATTTTTTTAAATCCATTAATTGTTTTCTTTTTAAACATCCGATTATTTATACAGAAAATGAATACATAGAATTTTAGGTAAGAAAACTGTCAAAAACTTGATTATAGCAATTAAAAATATTTTTTTTAGAAAAATCGGGCGTTATTAGAAAATTAAAATCGTGATTAGTCACCATAGAGTGACTACAGATCATTTAATTGTCATTCAGCAAAAGATTAAGAAATTGATTGCCATTCGTTTTCGATCTCTTTTTAATTTGTTTGTTTTGGTGAAAGAAGATTGTAGACTAAAATAGCTTGGATACAAAATACTACTATTGTTTAGTGACATTTCTGTTGACTTACTATGATAAAATTAAAAGTTTAATTAGTAAGTAATTCGGATGTAGCACAACATGATATTAAATGTTTCAATACTGACTTTGGGTATGAAATCCCTATAGAAAGAAAGTATCCATCTTATATATATTCACGATTCCATATAAAGAAATTAATTATTATTTTTTATATTAAATATTCCATATTAAAAAAACATGTTATTAAATATTCTTCAAATATGTACCGTAAATAACAATTAAATTAGAATTTAATTATTAGTTGAAAAACTACATAAATCTTTTTTATAAAAAGTCAAATCATCCTTCAATTACCGAAATTATTAATTATGCAACCCCTTATCACTCTATAAGCAATTAAGTTGGCTTGATTCTAATAGTAATGTTAATCTACAAGGTTGAATAGATTATATTCCCTTTTCAGTCAAACCATACATGATGGTCATGGTCTTAGTTAGTTAATACAGTATTAATAAGGCGTCTCTCATGCTTAACTATGATTTGAAAACACTAATCATTTAATTAATGGACACTGATTAGGAGGCCTGGAGCGCATGAATTAAAATAAACTATAGTATATATAAGAAACTTAGCGTGGGCTCTAAGTTTGTTGGTGTGATGCTACATATATTAATATTAATATATAATGGAACTTCTTAGTCAATATCTACCATGGACGTACGACTAATCTCAATCACACGGTATATCACGTGGGGGACCATTTCCTGAACTAGGAAAATTTATTAGGTAACTTTTAACTACTTAATCTCTTATTAGTCTTGATACATATATAATTAAGTATAATTAATTTTTTATATAATTTTTTTAGGTTAATATATATGATATAGTAAAAAAAATTATTACATATTTTTAATTTTAACAATAATACATAAAATATGTATTACATTTTAAAAATATCTCTAATGACATTCATAATAAATAATTTTTCATTTATTATTATATTTTTGGATTAAAAATATTAAGAATGTGTTTGATTATCTATTTAAAAGATATTAAAATGTGTATTTTTACTTCTTAATGTATGAAATTAAAAAATAATAAAGTTATTATTTTAAAACAAAAGTGAGTTAAATTCAACTTAATTTTTATCTAAATATTTTTTAGATAAAGTTGACTTTAATAAATTTATTTATATTTTATTAAAAAAACTTAAACATTTTTTTTTTGGTTATATATAACTCTTAACTGTACAGTAGTTAAGTGTGTCTTAATTATCAAGTCAGATCAGCCACATAATCATGACAAGACCATGATAATACGTATCGACTTTGAAACTAGTTAAGTGAGGGTTTTTCTTGATATTTTATTGCTTCCAACCTTGTCATGAAGCTAACTAGAGTTTTGGTCTTTTGCTAATGCTAGCTGTTAATTATTAATTATACGTACTTCAAAGTTCAAACTCCCAACTCAGAGAAACTGGTAGTACCGAGTCCAAGGATTAATAATTTAATGACAAAGATTTGGTCCATTATCATTGGTAATTCCCTTCAATAATGATACTGTTACAGAAGACATACATTTCTAAAGAACTTGCTTAGGTAAAGCAAGCAAACAAGGATTGATCCAGTTGAATCAGCTTTACACCCGAATAAAGAATTTATCAAAATGGCCAGTACTGAACCATTCGAAAAAAGAAAAAAGAAAAAAAAAAGATTAATAATAATAGAGATAAATAAATTGATTAAGTAATGGAAATTAATTAAATATATATATTTTTAGACGCTTTCTGTTTGTGTCCTTATTCGTTCCACGAAGTGACGTATTCTCTGCAATGCAATTTCCAGCGTGTGCTCAGTCATATTAGCGAAGCAAACCCTGAACCAACCTGGTTCAGAAGAATGGCAAGAAGAGCCTGGTGAGATATTGAGCTTGACTTGATGCAGAATAGCGTTCCAAAGCTTCAATTCACCTTCCCTTGTTGGCTTCTCCAACAGTGGACTCATATTCATCCAGCAAAACAACCCTGCATTTCCCTTCAAGCACTCTATCCCCGCACTTCTCAACCCTTCAATGATCATTTCATACCTCTTCCTCAGCCTCTCTCTGTTGGTCTCAATGTAGTTCTCAGTGAACTTCTCATCCGACAACATAGAAGCTAACAAGTGCTGTGTCTGAGAAGATATCAAGGTGAAACTCGACATCCTCCTCGCTGTGGTCACCACCTTGTCGTTGTAAGAGTAAATGGTGCCAACTCTGAAACCAGGGAGGCCAAGGTCTTTGGAGAGGCTATAAACAATGTGAACTCTCTCTGCGTTTTTATATTCGCGACCCTCGAGGATCTCTGCCACGCTTGTGAACTCCGAGGAGGAGAACACCGAGCCTGAGTAGATTTCGTCTGAGACCAGGTGGATGTTCTTGCGTGTCACGAAGTCCAGAATCTCCTCCAGAACCGAACGTGGGATTGTTATACCTAATGGATTTGAAGGGTTTGTGATCAGCACTCCCCTCACTTTGAAGTTCATGGCTTCTGCATCTTTGTATGCGCACTCTAAGGCTTCAGGAGTGATCTGGAAATTGTTTAAGCTGTCACAGTGGATGGGAACTATGTTCACCCCAGTTCTCCACCTTAAATCTCTATCAAATCTGTAAACAAAAAAGTGAAAATTGTTCTTAGTACGTATAACTTATTATATTGTTTTACTTTTATATCTACCAATGGTCTATTATGATTGTATCCATAATATATATATAATCCGAGATACAAGTTTATGAGTGCTTCAAGAAGTTTTTTTTAATTGAAAATAAATATTTTTCAATAGAAAAACTCTTAAAAAACAGATTTTACTTGTATTTGAACAAGTTTTTAATGTGTATAGAAAGCAATAAATCATGTTCTTCGAGGTTCAAAGAAGAAAATTGATTAGATATTTTTGGTAAGATGCACAAATAGGATACGTGAATCAATACAAATTAAGAATACAATTATTCTAAAAGTATTGTACATACCAATGATATTTTTTTTTAGAGAAATAATGGTTCTTTTTGTTAAGATAGGTGATTATTTGTCTAGAATATATTGAACCAATTCAATGAGTGATTAAGAGGTTGTTCTTACCCAGGATAGTATGGGGTTGGAACAAGTAAAGCATCTCCGGGGTTTGCAAGAATGAAGGTTAAGAGTTCGTTGGCTGCAGTTGCACCTGCAGTGAGGACTACTCTTTGAGGGTCAAATTTTACTCTCCCTCCTCTTACTTTTTCCATGAAGGTTGCCATTGCAGTTCTGAAGGTTTTAAGCCCATGATAGTCTTGAAACAAAGCATTCTCTCTGAAACCAGGAGCACCTTTTCCCCATGTGGAAGCTTCTGGGTGTTCTTCCAAGTACTTTTCAAGTAAATCAAATGAAACCTGCAGTACAATAAATGAAAAGGATCAATTATCATGAATTAATCCTAAAGTGGAGTTTTTCTTGTGTTGAGTTCTAACTATATGTACACTTACTTGATTCTCTGCCAACCCCATTTGTATAACCCCTGAGGGATTGGACAATTCATCGTAGGGGTTCTCATCATAGGCTTTCCACCCAGCAAAGTAAGGAGAATCTTCTCCATGAGTTTCAGAAACTGCAACATTTGAAAGCTCCACACAAGGTTGCTCAATCTCAATACCCATAGCTAGCTTCCTTGCAAAAGAGTTACTCAATTACAGAAAGCAGAAAGCTGCTGTGAGTAAGAGAGAGAGAGCGTTGAACTTGAATGAAAAGTTTGTGTTAACCCCCTCTATATATAGGCTTTGAGAATTAAGACAGAAAAAAGAAAAGAAAAGAAGAAAAAAAAAAGCTCATTCAATTTGCCTGGCGCGTTCATCACAAACTATAAAGAAAAATATAAATTATTGATTCTCAAATGTAAGCAAATCGGAGCTTCACCTCTCAGACTTTTACAGATATAGTTTACCTGTTGCGACTTGTGACAACTGTTACGGATCCACACAGAAAATATACGGTGGTTGTTTGGAGAGCGATATTTTGCCATTATATTTCTCCTGTGCTTAAAGATTTAATGGAGCAGATGGATTATAATATTTTGAACGGGTGAGTGATTGCATATGGTTTTGTATTTGTTTATTAAATAGAAAAGTGGTTGAGTTCTGAACCAATTTCTACTATTCTCAACCTATGACTGATCAAATCCCCTTGCCAAACAAACTCCAAAAATTCCTTTCCGGAACAAAATCATGCATTAAGATATGAAAAGGTTTTTAACACTAGAATTTGGGAAAAGTTCTGGAGTAGTTATGTTTTGATGATCTGACAAAGATACCAAGAAACCCAAAAGGTCGATTAAGATTCTGATTTGCAAGTAGCTGGGACAAAGAAGAAGCTCTTGGGTGATCTTCTGACCCCACACTTGCATCTATAACAAACAACAGAATTTAATGACTTTTGTAAAGTTTAAAGTAAACGTGTTCCTCTACGTGATTCTCTTAATTTGCATTGAAAGCTTTGACATTTAAGTACGTATTAGAAGTAACTTAATTATGTAATCAACACCCTGCTAACATTTACACATTTCTTTTATTGAAAAACATTTCTTTGACATCATTTCTTTATGACCTTTTTTCATTCCCAAATTAAATGTCATGTGGATGAAGAAAGAAAGAAAGAGAAAATAAAAAGTAATGCTATATAATGAGGTGTAAGATGAGTGTGAAAATATTAGATTAATATTTTTCTTTATTTAGTAGTGTGCTTTATCTTGATTAATCATTTACTTGTTCATTTCCTAATTAAGTAGTGTGCTAGCTTTTTTTTTTTTTTCTTTTAACAAATTGGAATGTGACTATCTACTATATACTTGCCTCACAAAGAAACATTATAATTTACTTTTTATATATTAATAATAATTATAATAATAATAATAATAATATAGGACATTTGAAATAATTTATACACGAAGTTGTTTAGATTTGTGAAGAAACCTTACAGTAGGCTTATTTCGATTCGATAAGTTTAAAATACCCGTCAAAATAACTCTTTTAAACTTATTTTGACGTTTATTTGTTAAGCTTATGAATAAATAAATTATAATATAAATGGCTTGTACATTTTCGTTAATTTGATCCAAATATATTCAGATTATTAACATCATGATCTGCCGAAAGTTTTTGAAATTATAAACCTAAACATATATTATCTATGTTTCGTTTTCGTTTATCTGATATTAACAATGAAATGGACTATTACATGAATATATTACTTTATATATGAACCTCAAACATATATATGATTTCTGAATTCTAATATTATGATTGAAATGTCAATATATATATATATATATATA